GCTGCTCTAAATGCCGGGAGCCAGGAGGAGCTCGGAAAAGGCAGTTTGCCGGAACGAGGACAATTTGTTCTTCAACACAGAGCATGTGCAGGGGCGTGCGCTGCAGCTCAAAGTAGCACCATAAATTTGAGGCGCTATTATTTTTGCTGCTGCAAGTGCATGCCCCTGCTCATCTGGATGTAGCTAGTGAAAGGAATTCCATGGAAGTTTCAGGGACAGATTTGGATTCAGAGGGCTTAAATTTTCCTGGCATGTATTTATCTTTCTGAAGTCAATAGTTTTTCTGAGGATCTTCCCCCTCACCTGCTAATAGGCAAGCTACCCTGAGGACTCCATGCTTTCCCCTGCTATCTTGCCACTCCTACCAATTTTCTGTAGTAACTTGCCTCACTTTATCACTGACTGCAAGGTGCCTTATCTTGTTATCCTTCCCCACCAACTGCCACAGATGCTGCTGTCTGATGCTCAATTAATGCAGCAGCTCTGACAGGAATAACCAAATACAAGTTGATGCACTGGAGCAGGGGCGGGCAATTATTTTGGGCAGAGGGCCGCTTACCGAGTTTAGGCAAGCTGTCGAGGGTCACATAGGTAGCCCTGCCCCTTGACAGGTGCCCCACCCCCTGGTCTCCATCTTGTGACCAGAAGTCCCAACCCCTAACCCCTGACCTTTGCTGCCAGAAGTCCCTCCCCTTGCCCCCAGAAGTACTTATTTCAGCAAGGGGTTTTGCCATCTCAGAATCAAGAAAACACCAAGTTATATTCTAAAAGAAAACACAACATTCATTAATTTGATTTCAAAAAATATTTTTGTCCTGATTTACATGTGTTTGTGTAGTGTTCATAGAGGTGATTGCACAGTAGCTTAAATAAAGCCTTATTCTTGTATGTTGTGGGGGTGGGTATAAATTTGTGGGGGCTGTGGGTGTGTGGGTATGTGGGGCAGGGCATGGATGTGTCTGTGGGGGTGGATAGGTGTGGGGGGGTGAGGGAGCATGTGAATATGTGGAGTGTGGGTGGGTATGGGGTTTGTGGGGGATGTGTGTGAAGGGAGGGTGACTGGCATGTGTGAGGGGGTGGGGGGTGGGGGTCTGCATGTATGAAAATGCAAGGGGAGTTGTGGGTACATGTTTATGGTGGGGTATGCGTGTGGGACTCATCCTATGAACACACCCTCTGCCCCTGCCTACACACACATGCACACCCTCTGCCTACACACACACACAAACACACACACACATGCACCCTCTGCTCCTGCCTACGCACATACACCCCTCTGGCTCCTGATCCCAGGGTACCAGTACGGACCACGCTCCCCAGTCTGGCAATGCAGCCCGGGGCCACATGGTGCTGGAGCAGTGCAGGGACAGGAAGGCAGGGAAGTGGCTGCAGGTGGAGCAGGGCTGGGCTGCTCAGTCCTGCCGGCTCTCCCTGGATCCTGTTGCCCCTGGGTCCCTGGGTCCTGTTGCCCCTGGCTTCTGTCATCTTTAATAGGAAGCCAGGAGCAAATAAATATTAATCTACTAAATTTTTTAGGAGCCCTGCAAGCCGGATACAATGGCCTGTTAGGCTGGATCTGGCCCATGGGCCATATTTTGCCCACGCCTGTACTGAAACCTTTCCCTGGGACAAACCTAACCACTTGAGACAGCATGTTACAATCCAAGGTAACTCATGAGGTACACCAAGGCCAGAGACCACATTGAGAAATTAATTGTAAAATCATTATGAACCGCTTTCTCAGCAATCCCACACTGTATGAGCTCTCACAAGAGTGGAAGAGAGTCTGCAGTGTTTGTGTTTCAGTACAGAAGCATTCAGGAATCTAGACAACAAAAGAAAAATGTCCCAAAATGTCTTTCAGCTGAACAAGGGCAAGTAGTTTTCAGCACAGTGGACTGAAACTTGACCCATTCACATTTATCCCATGATGCAAAAGCCAAGCAGAAAGCCTATTAACCACTTAAATATCTCTTTTGCCTTGTTTGAGTGATGCCTTATTCTGATTGCCTGTTCAGGAGTAAAATGCATGTAAGATTCACTTGTTCATCCCAAATCATCCACATAAAGCTGCATGACTGAAACAGATGTTTTCTAAATGCAGAAAATTCCTCTCAGTGCCAAACTTTAAGAGAATAGAGATGTAACCACAGTAGAGAACTCATGTGGTCCACTGGGAGACTGTATTCACTAGTTCTGCTTCCAGAGAGAAGCTGAACTAGAGAAGCTTCTCTCTGGAATCTGAGAAGCTGAATCTGAGAAGCTTCAGATTCTAGGCTTTACTTGCTAACCCAGCCTACACAAATAGAACATTCTGCTGAAGTGAATGAAAATACTCCATATTTGCTCTAGTGTAAATGAGACCCAATTCTGGCTAAATTCCCTAGTGACTTTAATACCCAGCATCATTAGCATTCAGTCCTTGTAAGACACTCAGAACTGTGGCAGGTAGAAGGACTATGATAGGGTAGGGTTGAGAAGTACTGGCAAAGCCAGCCAACTGGAACAGAGGCTAGATAACAGTGGCAGGTGAACTTATATATCAATCCATAATTAAGCCAGGAGCTGCTGATGGAGAGTGAAGTGCATTGGCAGTAGTTTCCAAGATTTTTACTGCATGCAGGACTCTAGCAAGGATTGCTACCCTCTCACTTTCGAGAACACAAATTTCCTTCTAATCATTTTTCTTTAGAAAATGAAAAAAGAAATTTACCTGTTATTACATGAACAGAGACAAATCCATGAAACTGGATAATGGGGAACCCCTGCTGGAATTAGTGTATGAGCAAGGGACTGCAAATTGACAAATAGGGATCTTGGAACCATGCAGTTTTTTTGTTCTCTTCCTCTTTTTCATGTTCAACTCAGCTAGCATCAATTAACTTTTATTCATACTTCTAGGAAAATATTGTCCATGATGAGCTGCCAACCATCCCTGTATAGCACACAATAGCCATAACAAAACAAGTGGTACGGGAACCTTCTCTTTCTTTTATAGTCAGTCATATGGGGTGCTTCTCCTCTAAGCGAAATCCAACAGTATGCAGCAGTTCCCAAACAACAGGTCACAAGCCCAAATGGATTCTTGGCACCTGAAGAGTGAGGCCCACTGAAATTCAGTTATAGTGGTTGGATCATTGAAAGTGGTGTGTGTGGCCATTGAAAAAGATGGGGAACTGCTGCCCTATGGACTGCTCAGCAAACAGATTCCAGTTTGTGGAGCCAAGTGAAGAGTATCTTATATATTAACATACCCCCTGACAGCCTCACTAGAAACATCCTGACTCCACCAGATCCTAGTACTCTGTTGCAGCTTTGTATTTACCAGGGCTGTGTGAAGCTTCGGTCCCCAATTCAATTCAATTTTCAATGTAGAAAAAACATTTAAAGCTGTGTCTATATCTGAATCGCTGATTCTCTGAATCAGCATTGAATCTTCAGATTCAGATTTGGCCAAATCGAATCAGGGACAGAGATTTGAATCAACAAATCGAATCACTGTCCCTGATTTGGGCTGAATCCAAATCCGAATCGAATAGGGCCCGCTTCGCACACCCCTAGTATTTACTTTTTTGGTGGTGCTGGATAAAATGTGTTAGAGAGTGCTTCTGAATTGCAGTGTTTGTCCAGGGGACAATTATGTTCGTCTCTGTATGTTTCTAGCCTTCAGCACCTCTGAAGATACTGCCAAATACAATGTTAGCTGCTGTAGTGGTCACATTTGTTGCCTGAGGACTAGATATAGGCCAAAATAGTCAGTGGAGGGCAATGACCTCCAGTTGCTGCTGACCTAGGTTGGATTTGAACAGGTGAGCTAGCTGAGAAAAGCTCTAAAATCCCTGTAAAAATCCCCTATATCTTGTCTTCACCATTTCATGCTGTATAAAGTCTGTCTTAATGCTGGATCTTCTGGCAGATGAGAAGGTTGTTGTCAATTAGTGAACTGACGTCAGTCTGCACCTGCGGTTTAGAAGCATGCAGCTGATTGAGTTTGACAGTGAGCCTAGCCAGTTTCAGGGCACTCTAGGTAGGAGATGTTGGTTCAGCAATCTTTTTGAACGGTGCAGTTGGCAGAGAGATCAGATCAGACATTTGAGCAGGGATGTACAAACCTACACAATCAAAGGGGCAAAAATACAAGTTAATGAAGAACTATAGTTGTTGTGTCCTCTTCTTGTTGTAAACTAATGATTACAGGCACTTGTTATAGAATACAAGCTAAGATACCCTGGACAGCTTTAGAAAAAAGAACAGCAGCATTATGCACTGGACACAAGCAGAAACAAGTGAACAAGGGCTTTCTTAGGGAAGTGGTTTCCAATCTACTTGGCATACAGCAGACTAACATCTCAGCTGCCATACCCAGTGCAACCATGGGAGTGGGGCAGAATCTTGCATGACTCCGAAATGTTGTCTTATGAAGTCCGGTGTGAGTAAAAGCATTCACTTTGGTGATCTCCTGTTACCTGTCCCCCATTCATCTGATATGATACCAGATATCATCTGAACACCGAAGTCCAGACAGTAGGCTCAGAAGCAGAGCCAGGGAAATAATAGACTGTTGGTTCTGTGGCTGAACAGAATAACTTGGGGCACAAGGCTGGTTTAGGAAGACAGAAGACAAGTACATTTTCAGTTGTTTGGTGGGAAAAAAAGGAGAAAAAATCAAGTGTTGGTCACCTAAATCGAATTATTCTGTTTTCAGGTCCTCTAACCCTATGTTTACCGCTTCTTTTTTAATTTAGGTGAAATGCAAAATGTAAAATGCCATTTTGAAATAAAAAGCAAAAATATTTTTGTTTCAAAGATGCTGAAATGAAGCATTTCAGCCTTGCTGACATGGAATTGTTTATTTATTTAGAACACCTGAGAAAAAACATTTCAATATTTGGAAAATGAATGTAGTTTTTTACCAGATGAATTTATGAACTATCTTGAATTCTCAGGAAGAGAACAATTCTCTGCTTCCAAATATGACCAGTTGCTTCTTTCCCTTCTAGGCTGATGCTAAGATGGTCTGTGACGTGGTAAGTCGGATGGAGGACACAGAGCCCTTCTCTCCAGAGCTGTTGTCAGCTATGATGAGACTCTGGGCAGATTCTGGAATCCAGGAATGCTTCAACCGGTCCCGAGAATATCAGCTTAATGACTCTGCCCAATAGTAAGTATCCCATTGTGTAGTTTCATATATCAAGAGGAAGGAAAACACTGGATTTGGACATATTAAGAAGTGGCATTTAAGATACTTTATAATGTATAAAAGTGCCATTTAAAGATTAGGATGAGCACTTTGTTCAAAGCTACTGAAAGTTAAAGTATCTTGCAGAACTTATACAGATTTAATTCTGACCCATCAGAAGCCAACCTCTTTGCTACAGTAAGTCTCCCCAAGATGTGATCTAGATACTGTAAAATGACTGACACCAAGTAGGTTTCTACAAATCTAGGTACAGTAAGCAAACTGGATCCATTCATGTGATCAATAGATCACAAACATCTCTGTTTGATTACCTAATAGATAATAGGATAATTTGTATACCTGCTTACTATGGCAAATTGTAACATAATTTAGTTGTCAGTGTTCACCTTCCTAGCAGAGCTTGCATATTATACTGATAGGCATTTCAGAAATTCAGAGAGAGACAGATGCAGAGATTATAGCAAAGAGCATGTTAACTCTGTTTTTGCAGTGGTAGTCTTATCTTTATATTATTATTATTATTATTATTATTATTATTATCATCTCCAAATCTGAATCAAATCAGAGGACCCTTTAATCTCTCCAAATCGATTCATAACCCTCCGAATTGATTTGGACATAGACACAGCTTTAAGAGTTTTTTCTACATACCTGTAGGTAACAGGGGGCTCTGAATGCTGCAGTGCTGGGGCAGATGCAACATTCCACAGAAGCATGGGGGGCTCCCCAGTGTGTTCAGCAGCAGACCCAGTAGTGGACCAGAAGCACTTCCTGGTCCACCAGGGAGCATGCAGGAGGGCCCCCCATGCCGCCTTTGGCTCAGCGACTGGTGCCTCCTGGGTCTGGGGTTTCCCTGCAGTCAATCATTGAGCTGAAGGGGCATGGGGGGGGCCCCCAGCACACTCCCTGGCAGCCCCGGAAGTGGACCAGAAGTACTTCCGGTCCACTTCCAGGTTTGCTGCTGAGCACACTGAGAGCCGCCCATGTTCCTGTGGGATGCAGCATCTGACCCAGCATCACAGCGATCGTGAGCCTCACTGCTACCTCAAGGTATGTAGAAAAAAACGTTTAAAGCTGTGCCTGTGTCTGAATCACTGATTCACCAAATCAGCATTGAATCTTCAGATTCAGATTCAGCCAAATCAAATCAGGGACAGTGATCCAAAACAAAGGATCGAATTTCTGTCCCTGATTTGGGCCTAATCCGAATCCAAATCGAATAGGGTCTATTTCACACAGCCCTAATTAGTAGTACTACTTCTCATTTAGTCAGTTGATACTACACCACTAGTAGTACTAATAGTACAGTGCTACGCCACTAGTATTACTGTTTCTCATTTAGTTGGTCGGTACTACACCACTACATGCACTTCAAGAATGAAAAGGCAGGTGGGCCACAGTTATTAAACTATCACCCAAACCAGCACAAATCTGAGCCTGTTTTAAATCATTTGCAGTATAAATGATTTGCTATGACATTGTACTTGGGGCCAGTGTACATCATCTTAACTTGAGGTCCACCCAAATTTACATCCCTAGCTATACCACTAATATGTATCAATCATCAGAAGAAAGTAGTCCTAAAGGCCTTCATTCTTTCTACTTTTTTGTCATGGCTGCAGCCACTTTGGCTAGAGAAAATTTGTCTGGCCTCTCCCTTAAAATCCAGAATGTGATTTTTGTTGTGGCTGCAGAGTTATTTCCCTGAATTCAATACTATTCTTAGTTTAACCATCTAACCTAATGAAGTCCTTAACATTTTCAGATCTGCTGATGTTTAGGAGCCTCAGGTGGTTCAGTCACCATCAGCAGAAACCATATCACAGGGTAAGGACACTGACTCCCCAATACAGCCCTAGGCCCTGGTACATTGCACCAGATGGTAACACACGTGATATCTCAGTTGGAACTTATTAACGCCGAAAGAGTCCCCTTTTAGGGGTATATTTTTTCATTTAAACCTTGAACACTTCTATTCCTGTTGTTGATAACAGATTTCAATCACCAATCACTGCAGAAATCATTTTCTTTTAAGGATAACTCTAAATCAGGTCAGAACTCTCCCAGAGTTGACAGATAAGAACCAGCCTGCACCCCTAGAGAGATGAGAGCACTTTTAGTTTGGGCCCATCTTTGTTTTAAATGTTTACCCTGATATCTTTTAGCAAAGTAAACTTTACATACTGTAATAAACCTCCTATGCCAGGTTGGCCCACAGCACTTGGTAAAACAATGAATTATAGTCCGATAGTACAATGAATATAGTAATATGCAAGTATAGCAGCATGGTACTTTTTGGGGGCTGCCACCCCAGCACCTGGTTCTCCCCTCTGTAGTTCAGTCCATCTGCTGGCTCCCCCATCCCAGCCCTACCTCCAATCTCTTGTCTGCCATGCCTTTGATGTCATTCTGTTTGTTGCTAAGGGAAGCAGTCCCTGTGGCCAGGAGTAAGCTCAAAGGTCACCTAGCTTGTCCAGCCAAGCCAGCTCCCCTACTGGGGCCTGTGCTCTCCCTCTGGTAGTTCCCCTTTAAAGGAGTGTTCCCATAGGCTTCGAAGCACTTGTCAGAGCCACAGCTGTGACAGCTGAGGCCCCCTTTTCCTCTCAGCTGTACTCAGCCTTGGTCTCCTGTTTAAGACCTCAGTTCCCAGGTACTGGCCCCGCCTTGGCGGCACCCCCTCCTACAGCTCCAATCTCACCACACCAGTCTCCACCTCTCTAGTTTAGAACTAGCTTCTAGCCCTCCTTGTTCATGGCCTCCTCCACCCCTGTAGCTGCAATCTGGTCCTCCAGTATCACGTTCAAACAAAACAAAACCACAAGAAAGCTGCATTACAAAAACAAATAGTGTCCCTTCTTGGGGTAAATGTTGCCTACAGGCCCTACCTCCATAAGAGCCATCTCACTTCATCTCCCCTGGGTGGCTTGGGTGCCAGCCTGTCCACCCCCAGCAGCTCCTCGCTCCCAGCAGCTCCTCTCCCTGCCACAGGCAGGGGCAGGCCCCCCC